CTCATCAAAATTCCAAGAAGTGGCACGAAGGATACCGCCACACAACTTATGTTCTCCTGATGCAAATTTTCAAAATCGGTCGGTGGAATTTCAAAAATCGCGCCGGGGAATTCTTGGAATTGAACTCATCAAAATTCCAAGAAGTGGCACGAAGGATACCTCCTCACAACTTATGTTCTCCCGATACAAATTTTCAAAATCGGTCGGTGGAATTTCAAAAATCGCGCCGGGGAATTCTTGGAATTGAACTCATCAAAATTCCAAGAAGTGGCACGAAGGATACCTCCTCACAACTTATGTTCTCCCGATACAAATTTTCAAAATCGGTCGGTGGAATTTCAAAAATCGCGCCGGGGAATTCTTGGAATTGAACTCATCAAAATTCCAAGAAGTGGCACGAAGGATACCTCCTCACAACTTATGTTCTCCCGATACAAATTTTCAAAATCGGTCGGTGGAATTTCAAAAATCGCGCCGGGGAATTCTTGGAATTGAACTCATCAAAATTCCAAGAAGTGGCACGAAGGATACCTCCTCACAACTTATGTTCTCCCGATACAAATTTTCAAAATCGGTCGGTGGAATTTCAAAAATCGCGCCGGGGAATTCTTGGAATTGAACTCATCAAAATTCCAAGAAGTGGCACGAAGGATACCTCCTCACAACTTATGTTCTCCCGATACAAATTTTCAAAATCGGTCGGTGGAATTTCAAAAATCGCGCCGGGGAATTCTTGGAATTGAACTCATCAAAATTCCAAGAAGTGGCACGAAGGATACCTCCTCACAACTTATGTTCTCCCGATACAAATTTTCAAAATCGGTCGGTGGAATTTCAAAAATCGCGCCGGGGAATTCTTGGAATTGAACTCATCAAAATTCCAAGAAGTGGCACGAAGGATACCTCCTCACAACTTATGTTCTCCCGATACAAATTTTCAAAATCGGTCGGTGGAATTTCAAAAATCGCGCCGGGGAATTCTTGGAATTGAACTCATCAAAATTCCAAGAAGTGGCACGAAGGATACCTCCTCACAACTTATGTTCTCCCGATACAAATTTTCAAAATCGGTCGGTGGAATTTCAAAAATCGCGCCGGGGAATTCTTGGAATTGAACTCATCAAAATTCCAAGAAGTGGCACGAAGGATACCTCCTCACAACTTATGTTCTCCCGATACAAATTTTCAAAATCGGTCGGTGGAATTTCAAAAATCGCGCCGGGGAATTCTTGGAATTGAACTCATCAAAATTCCAAGAAGTGGCACGAAGGATACCTCCTCACAACTTATGTTCTCCCGATACAAATTTTCAAAATCGGTCGGTGGAATTTCAAAAATCGCGCCGGGGAATTCTTGGAATTGAACTCATCAAAATTCCAAGAAGTGGCACGAAGGATACCTCCTCACAACTTATGTTCTCCCGATACAAATTTTCAAAATCGGTCGGTGGAATTTCAAAAATCGCGCCGGGGAATTCTTGGAATTGAACTCATCAAAATTCCAAGAAGTGGCACGAAGGATACCTCCTCACAACTTATGTTCTCCCGATACAAATTTTCAAAATCGGTCGGTGGAATTTCAAAAATCGCGCCGGGGAATTCTTGGAATTGACGTCATCAAAATTCCAAGAAGTGGCACGAAGGATACCTCCTCACAACTTATGTTCTTCTCATAACTTAACCCAGAAAAGCCAAATGGACCACTCTTAATTATGACGTAATTAGTTTTTAAATTGGAGCAATTTTGATTTGTACGAAAATTTGTTGCCGCGATTTGCAAAATTTTTAGGATCCGCGATTATCTCATGAAAACCTTGACCCCCTGCGTAATTCTAAATCGTAAGAGATAGACATGTGCAGTAAATTTTTAGAAAGAAAATAATCAAAGTAAAAGTAGTCCAAGCACCCATAATGATGGCGCAATTAGTTTTATGTATCCCTTAAAAAGTGTCCCTTAATAAGGGATCATTGTAAGAGTACACGTATAATATTTTTCTGCCTTGTTTTCGAGCATGCGTACAACGTTTCAGCGTATCTCACGGACATGTTTCTGCGTTATAATATAATGATGATATGATAGGGTATAGAAAAAATACTGGTAACGTAATAATACCTGTGAAGGAGTTGTAATTATTCCATTTTTTGAACCAAGGTATATGTATATAGTTCCTTTCTTTTCATAAGGTGCTCCAATAGCAATATCTTCATATCCATCTTTATTTAAGTCTCCCAGATTTGTCAAAGCAAACCCAAATCTATAAACAATTTATATTACGTTAATATACAATTATCAATGTATATAAACACTTAAAACAATACCTTGATTCTTCACGCCCAACAAGTTTAACAGGTTTACTTTTTTCACCTTCCTGATAAGTTTTCTGTAATGATGTATACACGTATACAGCACCACCTTCTATCTTACTAAAGTAAAAGGGTGCTGCTACAATAAGATCAGTAATTCTAAAAGTAAGATTAAAAGACATGGTAATATAAACTTGTGCATTATCCAAACAAAATACATATACATTTCATAATATATTAGTATAATAATTTATGTGTAGTTTAATAGTTATACTATCAAAGTGAAATGTGCACACTTGCATGTATTATATCGAGATGTATATTTCTAAATTCATAGATCCCTGTATACTTAAATTTCTATATTCGTAGATGTTACTTAATCTCTACATCCTTAGCTAATTCGACGCAAAAGGAAAAATGCTGTACCTGTCTCCGTTAACATCTGCCGAAGTTATTTCATACCCAAAGCTTGAGGCAAACTGTTCACCATCCAAAATAAAAGCAACATCCATATCTGGTTTTAATTCACGTCTTGTAAGTAACACAACTTGACCAGTACCATTTGAACGTGGGGCTCCAGCAGCATAAGCTAATCCAGTACCAAAGAAATTACCGACTGCAACTGACATCCCTGAGAAATTATTTTTTAATTTAATTTATTTGTTTAATTTTTGTAATATTTTAGTTCGTCAGATATATTTATACTAATTTAAAATAGATAAAATGATTCTATATAGTGGTGTATTACCAGGTATATACCTAAATAGCTATATTTACTGACAGGAGAGGCATCTTGCATTGGAGCATTATAAACAGTGTTATCTCTAGTTAAAAATTCATCTGAAATAGTGAAGAGGTATAGAGTTCCTCTCCACGTATGTGGACCTGGAGTACCAATAACAACACGATCTTCCGAAGTTAGTACACCACTGGTTCCAGCTTGACAATACCCAAATTGTTCATGAGCTCTAAAATATGGCCATAAATCTATGTTTGTTTTATAATATAAAATACAAAGCAAAAGTATTGCTATTGAAATCAATACTAAATATATTTTATAGTAAAATATTTTAAATTACTTGTTGGTAGGTTTTCCAGAACAAGGCTTTTTTAAATCTTGGTATTTTAAGTCTTGTGTTAATATGTAACACTGCCCTTGTCCCCATTGCGAATCTGCTGTTTTTACAATATGTCTGTGTGCACAAACCTAGAAATTTATTATAGAGAATAGTGTTCAATTTAATTACATTAATATGCTTATCAGGTACATACCATTACTTTGCCACCAATACCTTGACTACGCACTGTTACTCCCAACCATTGATTATCTTTGATTTCATCATTACCTGGTGGTACTAAGTCATCAGATTCAAAGCCTAAAATGTTAAAAAACATTTTTATAAACAATTTCTAATATATGTAATTAATCATTATAAATGTATATAATTTATATTTATTATTATTATATATATTATTCTTCTTAAATATAGAAATTTGTATTCAATGCCATATCCTATCTAAATGTATTGGTATTAATATATTTTGTTTATAAATTTTTATTTAAATTACTATTATTTAATAATTTTTTATTGTGTCAAATGGTACAATAATTTCAGTTCTTTTACTATAATGTGTATCCATTATGTTTAATAAATAATTTTTGTGTGATATCCCTACATAAAAAATAGGAGGTAAAAGAAGAGAAGCAAGTAAATGTTTGTAGTTGCATCAATTATGAAATAAAATTTTTGTTAATTAAAAAAATTAAAATAAAATGAGGAAGGAAAAGGATTAAATTATTGCAATAGAAATTTCATGCTGCAACATATATGCAATATGCATTAGAAAATTTGTTTAGAATCTGTAATAAGCATTATGTTATTCATCATAATAAATCAAGAACCTTCTGCATTATACACAAACTATTCTAAGTATGCAAAGTTGGCCAAGCATTTTGTAGTTAGTAAACATATTATTGCAAATTAAATATCATAAAATGTATTAATATTTTCTCATTTACATAATGCAAACTGTGTAATAATCAAGTCATATAAAAAATAATTGTAACATAATTTAAGAAAATATCATGCTGGTGTAAAAATTAATAAAATAACTTAATAAAAAATTATGCAAAATGACAATAAATGAAATGCCTCAAAATAAAAAAACTGTTCATTCAAATAACTCCATACAACAACTTACTTGTATTATACAGACCCCCTTCTTCTGCTGGTTAACCAACACATAATTTAACAAAAAAATAATCTTATTATATGTATTTACGTAATACAAAATAAAGCATGATAACTAATTGATTTTATGGAACAACATAAAAAATAACATGCACATTAATACATATATCATATATAAATATAATTAAGTTTTTTATAATCTTAATCATAGCTTTTATATTAGATTAACACTTAATTACTAAACTTTCTTAAACACAGACGTGCTAAATATTTCTTACAATTAAAATAATATTCACAGAATTACTTTAAAACATTCTATGAAAAATGAACTCATTATGGAAACTTCAAACAATTAATATATATTGACAATAATATTGTCAATATTAAAATATTGTCAATAAATATTGAAATATTTGAATACTGATTATATATATTAATCATTTTAGGTATCAATTAAAATATTTTTAAACTAAATCCTTTAAATAATAAAAAGAAAATTAATAATATTGTAATTAATGTGTTTGAAAGCAACTCTTTTATAACATACTTAGTCGTCCATCTGTGATCACTTGAGTACAATCCATTTTGTGTGTTGTCAAAGGACATTGCCATAATGCACCAGACCTATTAGTTGCTGGTTGTTTATTTTGGTCTAAAGGAGCACCAACTAACATCCTGCAGAATACATGGAATTGGAAGATTTTAAATGTACTACTTAAAATAGGTAAACACGGACAAAAATAGATAACATAATATTAGATTACTTATAATAATTAACACATAATATCTTTAGTTGTATGATATAAATGTTTTGTAACACATTATCTAATGTTCATATATGTTTTATCTTGGTTTCATAAAAAAATAAAGCTATAAAAAGCATATGAAATATCAAGAAAAGCATGCAATACATGTTGCAACATATTAAATTAATGAAATATTGTCGTTATGATATAATATTAACAATGATTTTAATGAATTATAATATATTGGTTCACAAGCAATATATACCTACCAGCTTTTTGGTTTTTCTTTGTTATCATCAGAAATTTCTTGATGTTCAGCTACAGAATAGCCAAAATAAGAACCACTTAATCCTTTTTTTATGATAGGTATTCTTGGTTCTAAGTTAAAAGTGTGTCCTAAGTATATATTCAAAATAAAACAAATTAAAAGATAATTTTTCATTTTTTATTAACATTAATTGCTTTTCCACATGTAAATAGTTAAATGTGATTATGATATTTGTAAAAATTTCACGTCCAATTTATATTTTTATCCATAAAATTATTTTTATAGATCTTTTTCGATTTATCGCTGTACCATTCATCCACACCTTTCAAATATGCACACAATTCTTAGGATCCACCCACGCAATCAACGCACTAAGAATAATCAGAAGTACACTCAAGTGCAAATCTGGCTTCTCCAGGGAAAATAGTAACCAAAGAGATGGGATTCCGATCACCCACTACTGCACCAACATTGGCACGCATTATGTCTAATTCACAGGAATCGATAAATAATGATATTTAAAGTAAATTTCGTTTTGTAACAAAAATTAATAACAATTTATTGTAAAATAATTGCTTCCAAAAGTTGAAAGCATTTTGCAAGTTTCATTTTCACCTGTATTTCGAAATTTACTCGCGCGCGTGTGCTGAAAAACTTAACACAGAATTCTATAAACATTCATGTGGTTTGAAATTTTGCTTGTCAGGAAAAGCTAAAAGATGAAGTAATATTTATGACAAAAAACATTGCTGTACATGTTAAAAATGCATTATTTTAAATATAAAACATTTGCATCTGCATTTTGTATTGTGAGAAATATGGGTAAAAGTATATTTTTATTTTCTAACCTTCTTTTTAGCTGTTAACCTCCTCAGCATTTTTACATAATATATCATTTTTTGTTGAAATATATTAAATGTTGGTTAACTTTTTAAAATTAATTTAAGAATCATGTTTTAGCTACTGTTAAAAGATTTTATCGAAGAACAAATATTTTATCCAGTGGTGGAAAATTTGAAATTACACTCGACCAAAGAAAATTGAAAACACCGCAAGGAAAAATATTACAAGTGGATAGTAAACCACTAGCTTTAGCAATAGCTGTAGAATGGGATATGCAAAAAGAAATTATTGACAAAAGCAGTATGCATTTGGTAAATTTGTTTTAAAAGAATACAAAATAATATGTAATAATAATATATTTAATTAATATAGTGATATATTTATACTGATTTTTATAGACAGCCTTAAGTAATACTGTAATTGATAATCCTAACAATCATACTAAGCAAGATATAGTAAATTATATTGTAAATTGTTTGGAAATGGATACAATATTATTTCATTCAAATGTGGGTATATTATATATAATCTCTTTTTCATAACATAGTTTATTTATTAAACTTAAAAATTATATTATAGGATAGTGAAGAATTATATAAATTACAAATTGAAAATTGGGACCCATTGGTACAGTGGTTTTGTGACAATTACAATGTAAATATGATAAAAACTCAGAGCATACAGGCTCCTACAATATCTCAAGAAACAAAACACATATTGACAAGGCACTTAATGTCTTATAATTTTAATGCAGTCTATGGTAAATGATTTTATTAGCAATATATACAAACATACTCTATGTTAATACTGTTTTACTTATAGGTTTTATGTACGGTGTAGATGCAATAAAATCTGTGATTCTTACTTTAGCTGCAGCTGAAAGAGTAATTAGTATAAAAGAAGCAGTAAAACAGTCTCGTTTAGAAGAAGATTATCAAGTGTGTAAATTAAACTTTATTTTAAGTATTTTAATATTATTTTTTAATTTATTTTTTCTTCTGTCATATAGACTTCTCACTGGGGATCCGTAGAATGGTTTCATGATCAGAATAAGTATGATTTACAAGCCCGTTTGGCTGCAGCTATCCTATTTGTGCATTTGAACTCTTATTCTGTAACGCATCAGCCAAAAAATGCTAATGCAAACGTTAGTTAATAAAAAGAATATGAGTTAAATGTTGTATGAAAATTATAAAGAAGATACATTAAAGTATAAGATAACAATATTTTGACTAGTCTGAAGTTTGACAGGAGGATGATTCAATGGAGGATAATGCTTCTACTGGTATGGAACAATCAGAACCCATCCATTCTTTTGTACAAATGCAACTGAAATAATTAATATTTAATGAGTAAATGAGATATCAAAAGTGTGTTCAATTTGGGAAGCTTACCTATATGTTGCACCATGATTTAAACATACTGCTCCATTTTTACATGAATGACGAATACACTCGTTCCTATGACATTCACCAACACCACGACCTGTTGCAGGACTAGAACTGGTTATTGGATAAATTGCACTTTCTGTACGTAGTTCAATGTCAAATATGCAACCAGAAAATCCAGTATGAAGAGGCAAATCATGGGGTAAAGAATCAAAATTTCTTGACTTGTGTCCTCCTAGAAATCATAATGTCTTGTAAATTGTATTTTTTTATAATATATTTAAATAATTTATGCAACAGATGTTTAACAAGTTTAATTGTGTACTCGAACATTTTAAAATGAAAATCTTAAATTGAAAAAAACGGACCAATGTAAAGTATTGGAGATACATCGAGTCGAGTCATAGATCCGACTACTCGTCCAGTTACATTGCCTATGCCATCCACTGCAAGCCACGCTTCTCGACCTCTTCTTCCAACTTGAATCGTGTATGCTATATAATTTTTACTTGCAGTTGCTGTCATTGCAATAGCAGTCAAAGGAACACTTGTAAATATTCTACGAACACCTATAAAATATTCTTATGAAGTGAAATAAAAGAACTTTTGAAGTTCAAAAATTTAGACCTGAATCTAAATTCGTACAGTCTTATCACGTGTCATAAGTGAGACTTCGTTGTAAATGAAAATTTTAAATATCTAAAATATTAAGATATAATACCTGCTCCTAAATCCCAGGTTAACATTATGTAGCCACGAACATATGTTATAGAAAGATGATCTGATAGATCCCGACGCGATCCACTTTGTCCTAAATAAGCTATCAAAGATATTTGTTCGTTAGAACGTGGTATGAGCTTCATTTTTAATTCCATGGTATCTTTTATGGAATTTGAAACACCATATGCAATGTATGATGAAAATCCAGGTACGATAACCGAAAATGATGGTCGACTTATGACAGTATCTAAAAATTGACGATAAAATTGTCGTACACTCTCGAATTGTATTATTTAGCATAAATTACCTTCTTCGCATAAGAGCCCGTGAGTTCCTAGTGGGCATACACATACGAAACCTGTACCTGGTGAGCTGATACAAGTTGCGCCCATTGCACAAGGATTTTCATCACATGATGATCGTTCGCAAAATGGGCCTGTATATCTGTTTAGATAATACTCTATTTTACACTATTTTGTAACATCTGTTAATACATTCTAAGTACGAATTGACAAATTATCTTACCCAGGGATACATCTACAACGTACTGTACTATTTACTTCTTCGCATGCACCAAAATTTTGACAAGGATTCGATAAGCATAGGAAAGATACACAGTCTTCAATTTGAAAAGTTTCAATGGAATCATGAATGAAGTGACGAGGTGCATCATTAATCTATATTAATGATGAGAAAAGCAATTATAAATTCTTCTAATACCATGAAATGTAAAACAAAACGTACCTTCAGTGAACTCATACAACCAGTAAATCCCATGGAAACATGAGCAAAGTGGTGGGAAAATACCATTGGTATACCACCCAAATGTAAATTAGCTAATCGTGGAAGGCTTCCATGTAATGGCAAGATTTGCTCACCGCTAACAGCTGTTGTTTCATTCACTAACAAACGAGCTGAACATTTGTTAGTTTCATTTTTCATAAAATATTGAAACCTGTACATGTAAAATAAGTATACATCAGCTGTGTAACAAGTATATAATTATCTATGACTAGCTTACTTTGTATCGATGTCAGTTTCATATCCATTATCAATAGGCGAGTCTATTTCACCAAGCAGCATGGTTTCAAGTCCGCAGGAGAATTGAAATTTTAAGGAGCCATATTCCAAGTAAACTAAAGCATACTTTTCATTATCGAAATAAACGTGTAATATAATACCATCCTTAAATTGTGTTCTAAGCCGCACGAAAATCCTTAACGTTGCATTATTGCTATTCGAAATTTCCACCTCAACCTGTTGCTTCGCATATGATTTACCGTTGAAAGCTGCTCGTGTTATACTTGGACCAGTTTTACAATTTTCATGTTGAGAGCAGTTACACTACAAGCACGTGAAAAAACTAATGTTATTTAGAAGTAAGAATTGATACATGTACAAGTGATACTAATGTGTTATAAGAATCAAATGAATCGCAAAGCAATAAAATTCTTTAATACTTGCATCACTATCATTGCGTGTAGGCGGTACTGGTGAACTTGTACAGAAAACTCCATGGCATCCAGTAGTGCTTTTTGGAGTTGTTAACAAAGGTTTTGAGAATGGTTCGGTAATTGTAGTATCTTCTTCAAGTATTGACTTCACAGAGGTAGTAGTTACAGATGAAAAGGTATCGTTCGTGAACCAGAACGTAGAACTTTCTAAACTTGATTTCGTTGTTTGCGGGAAAGTCCATTTATCTATGAAAGAGCGAAATGTGGTTTTTGGCACTTCTACCATTGGTGTGCTTAATTCTGAACTTCTATTTTGCCAAAACTCTATGGAAGTAGAGGACGATGTGGAGTAACCATTGCTTCTTTCATTTTCTGTTGTAGCCTCGGTGACTCGTTCTACGGACGTAGATACTGTTGGATAAGACCTAATAGTAATGAAAATATATTAAATATAATTATCTATTTTTACTTGCAGTAGTTTAGAAAGTGTTTTTCAATTTTACCCTGTGTACGAACTATATCCCACTGTACTACCCGCTTCAGATGTGGTACCATTGATGGATACGGATGTCCTTGCAGCTTCTTCTTGATAAGTAATTTCACCAGCAGTAGTATTTTCATTACGAAATGATTTCTGTGTGAAAAATTCCGTTCCAACTCTCATCGTTGAAGGCATCGAAGAAACTTCGCTCAAAACAGTAGAAAGAGTTCGGGACTCTGATGAAATTCTTTCTGCCTCAGATGTCTCTTTATCCGTCACAGAATACATCGAGGTCACATCGTTAAGAGGAGTAACTTCTGTACTAGCAGTACTAGTACCACTACTACTAGTAAAAACGCTAATATTGTTTCTATCTAAAGTCGAAGGCGTAGTTTCGATAAAAGGGTACCATCTCGTGTAAAAATGACTACTACTCTTGACGGAAGTCGAAGATTGAGCAGTCGGGGATGTAGTCAGTAACGAGGACATATCGCTTTCAGGCAACGTTGATGATTTTGGTGCAAAAGATGTAGTAACAGGGATTTCTTTATCGCTACTAAAAGTTTCGCCGAAAGTTGAGAAAGAAGTCGTAGGAAGATTGTATACGTTACAAAATGGTCCGCTATAAAATGTTGGACAAGCACAGGTGAAACTATTAACACCATCGATGCAAGTACCACCGTTTTCACAATTAGCGAATTTTGATTCGCAGTCGTCGTATTTTAACTCGCATAATATACCATGATAGTCTGGTACACAGTAGCAAATTGGTCGTTCGTCTTCAAATAAGCATACCGCATCGTTTCTACAAGGATTCTCTTTGCAGGGTACAATGGCTTTATCGCAATCTTTGCCTGTATATCCTTATAGAGAACACTCGAAATTAATATGATATTTACTAAAAGTTGTCACCATTGTCTTGATGATAAATGAAACGTACCGAATAAACAAGCACAAGTATATGAGGAAGGTATATTAATACAAAGACCACCATTCTTGCACGGTGATGTAACACATTCGTCAACGTCTTCGTCGCATAATCTACCTGTCCATCCTTTTTAAAAACAATTAATGATAAAGTTAACGGGTTACTTTAGTCAAAGGTTAAACCTAATACCTTCAGGACAGCGGCAAAAGAAAGAAAATCCAGGTCCCTCCATACATTCACCTCCATTTTTACATATCGTGTCGTTACAAACTGAAGCATCGATTTCACAGTAATCACCTGTAAGAGAAACTTATAAAATAGAAGAAAGACAATTATAATACCCTCGTGTTCTACCTGAGTATCCATCGGGACATTGGCAGGTAATACCGTCATAATCCAGACAAGTTCCATTATTCAAGCAAGGGTGGTTTGAACATTCGCTATATGTTTGTTCACAGTCTATACCTGCAAGCAGCATTCTATTATTAGTTATATTTTATTATTTTGGTAATGTTAAAAGTATAGGGTACCTGTATCAGCTTTTATATTCAGTCACAAAATACAAGCTCTTGTGTAAACTCTTGTGTAAAAATTTATAATTGTTTTCTTATTTTTTTTTTTGTATTTAACATTGATGGTATAAAGATACACCGCGGAACGATATAATCCGTGGAGATGCAATGTGTGGATATAACAATGGGAATAACTATAGAGTATACGGTATAAATCATGAAATTAAAATGCACAAATATCTAATATATAGCGATACTAATATCAAATTTATTCTTTGTTCATTCATCTAAAATATCTAATTATTATTTATTTTACGATTAAGCAGATCTTGAGTTTTAATTTTTTATCATTAAGTTGTAGAGCGATAGCGCTCATCCATTTTATCTTCTAGCGGTAGGTCAGGTATTTTAAGCACGAACATCATTTCAATTACACTCTGTGCTAACATGTCAACGCGTTGCTTTCGCACATGCAATACAGGAGGTAAACGAAGGAATCATAAATTACCTACAAAACCCTCTGCACAGGTGCAATTATAGGCTGCAACAGCATCGTTGCACGTTCCTCCATTTAGACAAGGATTAGACCAACAATCGTCCCAATTGATTTCACAATTGATTCCGGTATAACCGTCGATACAATAACACGAATAGGTGCTGTATACACGTGGAATAACAAAGTTAATTAAATAATTATGAACAACTACTCGTAGGAAAAAGTCAAAAAAATCAATTATACAATCGCGGTCTAAGTTTCCCTTGATTTAGAAAAAAGAAGAAACAAGAAATTAATCATTATCTTTGAGTATGACTATGTTAACTTTTCTGTAAGATATCTTAAAATTAAAAGCGAATGATGAGAGATCCTTCCTCATCTCTTATTCTTAACTAACGGAAACTTACATTACATTCGAGTGTTCAAAAATTTCAGATGCCTCGAGAAACAAATAATTAATTTTATGACATAAAGACTGATTTTTAATACCTGTTTATATCTTCTAAACAAATTCCGTACATACAGGGATCTGTGCTGCAATTTAATCCTTGCGAAAGATTAACTGCTAAAAGTAAGAATGTCACCAAAATATGAATCCTATTTTTCATGGAGTTATCAGTCAGCTTCCTCTTATAACACATTCTACGTGAAAACGGTATAAATCTATCATATATAATTACGATAGATTTCAGAGAGTTTTTATATAAGTAAGGCACATTGGTCCACAGTATTGATATTCAATGATCAATCCTTAAATAATAATCAAATATTCATGAATTATTGTAGTTTTGAAGAATAATACGTTCATAATACCATTTCGATTATATGAATTATTGACTTGCTTCGTACGAGGACTAATGAATTTCTTCCATTCTACCTGTAGATTCCGACGTTTCAGTTACTTTCATTTATTCTTACATCAGGAAGAAAACGCGAACTAAGAATATATACGAGACTAAGAACAGTTTACACTGTTTTAAACGGTATAACTATCCGGGTACAATATACATATATATTATGTACCTGTTAGTATACCTGCTATTTGTTGCAGGTAGTCAGTTACCTGGTAGTCTTAGCAACGTTAAAATATACAGACGCTGAAGAGAATCTGATACGCGTGCGTGAAAACTTGCTTCGTCAATAATAATCTTCATTCAATTTTGAAAAGTTGTATGCTCGCGATCCACGCGTTATAATGGCGAAAAAATGACAATGTTGACAATATAACGCGAGTCTTGAAAAATGACATTTAACAGTTTCTATAATACAAGCTATTTTTCAAATTGTAATTAACAGATAATACAATAAATAAAATTAAACTGAAAACTACTCACAAGGAGTCTGGTATCGAAATGTTAAGCTAATTATTAGATTTTATGATAATAACTACTTTATTATTCTAAAAGAACATAACAGTATATTTGTTTCTTTTACCGTTTAAGATGCACTAAATCACGAGTGTGTAATTGATGTAAAAAGCAGGGAAACGGGTATAAAATCTCTAATTCTATTTTAAACTGAAACGCCGCACAGCAATAGAGCATAAAGCGATATAGTACTGCAGTTTCGTTTAATAATAGTACTTATTCAGTAACATGTGAATTTTCATCGATTAACCTTCACTTGCATATCTATCTCACATCATCATGATCATCATATTAACACGGATGTAATCAAAAGACATATATATATAAATACAAATGTATTATATAATGTGAACATTTTCTTCACCATGTTGTATATATACGCATCGAGAGAAGAGACTCGCAGACATTGCATTGGCTACCGCCCGCGAAGAAGTTCATTCCAATTTTCTTCACCTATTGCACATGAAAATTTGCTGAAAAAATCATCGTACAACATGAGTTTGCAAGATATCGTCGAACCAGAAATGGTGGAGGAATTGCTAGTGTCCCATTTGAAAGAAAATAATATATCTTGCGAGAATCCACGAGCTTGGACTATTCGTTATTCGAATTTGGGTGGCCGTGGCATGTTCGCCACTCGCGATATAGCGGCGAATGAATTGATTTTCATAGACGCACCTTTGATAGTCGGGCCAAGGTGCGTGGGCAAACATTTAGAAATGTGCGTGTGCTGTTATAAGAGCGAATGTCCGTTATTTCCATGCGATCGGGGCTGCGGTTTGCCAATCTGTTCACTAGAATGCGAAAATTCGCCGAAGCACGTGAATTACGAGTGCAACTACTTAAGATCATTGGTACCGACTTGTGGGACCGATTGGTCTTTGAATTTGTTACTGGCAGTGATACCGATACGCGCGCTCTTCATGACTGAGCAGCAACGTAAATGCTTGGCCGCTCTTCAATGCGATCAAACTCTCACTTCTCAATATGAGGTACGCTATTCCTTTTTTTTTTCAAAAATTTAATTAGGAAAAGAATTACATAAAACTTCCAAAAATGATTTATTTGAAGTATATACTTATACACAATTCTTTCTTGAATTACTATTCCATGAAAACAGAAATATATTCCTAAACCCAATCCATAAAATTAATCAATAACTTTCTATGGGAAGATCAATCTTTTGCAACGAAATGTGGAAAAGTCCCCGAGCGAGGCAGATGTGGAATTAATGAAACGAGTGTGTGGAGCATTTAACTCAAATTCATTTGAAACGGTTAGCGTACTTGATAAGGATCATTCGACCAGTTTGCGTGGACTATATCCCTTAGGAGCGCTACAGAATCACAATTGCGCACCAAATACCAGACATCATTTCGATGAAAATTATCGACTATATGTTAGCGCTACTGTTCCAATTTCCGCTGGAGAAGAACTTACTATGTCTTACACGAGTTTGTTCTGGGACACGACATTGAGAAGACAATTTTTAAGCATCACCAAACACTTTTCCTGTACGTGCAAACGGTGCAGCGATCCTACGGTACATTATTACGTCCAAACATTAAAATTTTTAATAATTTAGTAATTATTTATTGAATAACGTGAATATGATTAGAATAAACATTTTTAGGAATTAATTTCAAATTAAATTGAGACTCCAAATTCAAAGATTCAGTATCGCCATCCAGTGAGCCATAATTAACATATTGCTTTTACATAATTTTCTTTATTTTAGGAATCTGGATCAATGTTATGTGCACTCTTGTGCGCGTTTGACAATTGCTCAGGGAATCTGTTACCTCGAGATCCTCTTAGGATTGGAACTCCATGGGTCTGCGACATGTGTGGGAAGAGTATCAACTATCGACAGGTATTTGAGTACAATATCTTTCGACGTACTGCTACTTTTGCATGAACATTTATGTAATTTAATAACATCCACCGTCTGGCGGTTGGTTCGCGCATTATATCGCTGCTTCTTGTATTGTCACATTTTATATCGTTACATACTTGACATTACGTTTTATCACCACGCATCACATCAACATATGTTTAGAGAGACGTTATCGTATGTGTATTTAATTTGCGATTTCGTAATTTAAAAATAATACAACATGCAAAGTGTTTGGCTTTAATAACTTTCAATTTTTGGTACTTTGTTTTTTTATTAGATATGTTCGATCCGTTCAGGTCTAGCGGCTATAACGGAAGAAGCACTGTACAAAAGTCCGCGAGAGATTTTCAAGTTTATGCAAAAGGAACTTTTTCGTATAGTTCCTCTGAGTAATTATCTCATTATAGATATGAAGTTTCGAATTATTTCGTATTATGGTAGAACTGAAGGTCTCGAATGGGCAGGTATAGTTAATATATTTATATAATTTATAAAAATACGGTGTTTGAAAATGACTAATTTACTCGGTGAATTTTTTAAAATTTTAACAGATTTAACCGATGTCGAGTTGGATACAAAATCAGAATACTGTAACGATTTGCTTTCTATATTAGATGTTTTAAATTGTGGCGATTGTAAAAAGAAAGGTAAGTTAATTCTAAAGTAAAAATGATATAGAACATATTTGTGGATATAAGCAACAGTAGTACAATAATATTTCAGGTCTTATTTTGTACGAGTTGTATTGTACAAACCTTGAAAAATTTAAACGACTTCGACAAGAAGACACTGCAAAAATACGGGTAAATTTTTCTGTAGACGTATATTTGTATTATTTATTTGTTTACATTGTATATTTACATTATATATCTCTTTAGGCTGATGAAAATCAACGTTTGTTAGAGAAAGCAATGATTATATTGCAAAACGATGTTGTTTCAGCTGCAATTATTAAACATGATCAGAAATACTTTAAACAATGTTAACTGTTATTTAAAAAGTAATACAAATAAAAATAGATATGTTCTGACAACACAACGATTCAATTTTCATGTTGGAGTCAGTAAAATATTTCAGGAAAATTAGTATTATTGAAAGTGAGTGATTTAGTGTTAAAGTTGAAAAGTATCGAAATTTTAAAAGGTTAATTTCATAAAATTTCATTAAATAAAAAAACAAATACATATAAACAAATTACATTCATCGAATGTACATGATTCGTTACAATGTTCAATTGTTATGATTATGATTTTGCTAAAGAAATTGTACAAATATTGAATAATATATAAAAAGATATTAATTATGGAAAATTAAAGAACTAGCGATTAAGAAAAATGTATCAATTTAATTTCTTTTTACATTGCACCACTAATATCTAGGTTGGCTACAGCGAGTATCTAAATAGCTGAACCAGACTAGCAAGTAACAAATTGATGCACTTTTGCTCTATACTGAATCGTGTAATACGATGGTAAAGTGCAATTTTGGAAGTCATTTACTATATACAGAAGCATTCTCATACAACTTGTTGTAATAAACATTTTGCTTCTTCATATAAAGATGTACAGGGCTTCAAAACTTCCAAATCATAATCTACGTCTTCATCAATATTTACATTACTACTCCTACAACAAAATAAAGTTATATAATGTTTTATAATGTGTTATACTGAAAGACTTTTAACAACTATTAATTTTTTAAAGATTATTTACCTATATAGAAAATCATCCACCGTAGGCAGCATATCGTTATTTAAGTCACGTAACAAGCGATTTCGAGCAAGTGCTGTGTGCATAAGTGCAACATCGTGAAGAAAAAATTCCGAATGGTCTGTAAGTAAAAATATATTAATCACGCGAATTTGAAATAATTTTCCCCGAAGTTGTAATCGATCAAACGAATTACCGTCTGTTCCATATTTCTTTGTTAATTTCTTTATTATATCTTCTCCTGCGTATTTTGCTGAAACACCGATTCTAGCCAAGATTGCTTTACATTGCCACCGATTTTCTGAACTTTGATTACATGGTGTAGTTCTTCGAGGTTGCGTCTCTTTAACAAGACTCTCCCAGTCAACTCCTAAAGCGTCACCTAAACCTTTGCCGCTTGTTTTTATATCTTCCTCTAATTCACCATCGGATATTTCTTCAAAGTCCATAGTTTCCACATTTTCATCCTCCATATTTCTATTAATATAATTATATATAAATAAGCGTATAACAAGAGAATAACGATATAAAAGAATTCAAGGCTGGCGCCAACTGTGTAGCACATGCTAAGTATTCCACAGTTGAGAATTAAGAAGACATTCTACCACTTTTTATTGTTTGTGTTAAAATCTCGTTAATACTTTTGATCTTATAATTTGCACCCTCTCCCCCCTACGCTTGCTTCATCAACCCTAAAAAAATGAAAGATAATTTTAATAAAAATTACCTAAACGACATTGGTTCAGCATTATCTTTTCCCTTTGTATTAAAAACTGTGTCTTCAATAGTTTCTTTTGGAGATGACACATCAGTTTCTTGAATGGTTGATTGGCCATCCCGTTGAGTACTATCAGGAGATTTCTTACTTGCCCGAGTTTTATTTGCGTCAATGTCCTATTAAACATTACATATATAGATAGATTAAATGAAAATTCATTAAACAAAATGATAAAAAAACAAATAGAAAATACCGTTACATCATCCATGTTTAATATATCATCTGGATCATCGCTAATATCACTTAGATCACTTTCAGTATGAAGAGTTTGTAAAGACTCATCAATACAAGTACGTTTCGATTCTGATGCAACGATCTCTTTAGTTTCAGGTTTTTCCTTTGGTAAAACTTTTTTTTGAAAAGTGTCCGCAGGTTTCTCGCGTGTCGTAGATAGTTTACCTTCCGCAAGTTCCATTAACTTCTTATTGATAGGTTCTTCTTTCATACTGCCATATAAAGATGCTTGTTTAGAACTATGAACCGAACATTCGTCTCTGGTTTCAGAGCTATTATAAGTTCTTCTTTTACTATAAAAAAGTTGAAACAAACATCTTGTTAATATATAAAATGTTATAAATAAATAATACACGCCAAAATGTAGTCGTATGTTACATACTTGTGTGACGTAGATTCTCCTAATTCTATTTCTTTAGATCGATCATTTCTATAATGACCACGTAAATGTACAGGTTGGTTATCCCATTTTCGACCATCATTTGATTTCCAATCTGATACAGAATTATCATACCGTGAGCTCCAGTCATCGTCATGCACTTCTGATCGTGGAAGACTGTCTCTACTATCCCATAAAGTTCTCACTCGCCACTCCCTCTCTTCCCAATCAACAGGTCCATAAGCTCGTTCTCTGTTATGTTCTACGTCACGATGATGACTGTCCCAATCATCATTAGCAACATTCTCATCGCTAAAAATTAATTTTATATTAAAATCTTATTATTAAGCAAATTTAAGAACATCAGTTCACTATGGTAGGAATAGTATACATATATAGACATAGTCTCACTATATCATCTTAAAATAAAAGTAAGAAGATATGTATTGCCATTAACCCACCGAATTGATGTATTACTTCTAATTTTTTCTCCTGGATAGAGTGGATGTCTATGATGATGATGATGATGTCGATGATCATCAAAGGATGTTCTATCACCACTTTGAACAACATATCTAGATTCCCGAGATCTTTCTTCACGTATTCCACGTCTCTCGTCAAATGGGCTATCATACCTCCTTCCATCAACAGTTTTTCTTCTATCATCTTCGTGGACATGATGATCACGATAATCTAAATGCGAGGATGCTTCCTCTTGTTCGTCCCAATGTTCAGATAAACGTCCATAATTTCTATTATAATTTCTATCGATTTCAATTGTACGTCGTGGACTACCCTCTCGTCTTTCAATCAAACGATCAACTTTAGTCGGTGTAACGCGTGTTTGATCGTGTTCAGATGTGTGACTGCGGTCATATCTCGTATTGAATCGTCTATGCCTATCTCGATCGTAATGTCCAACATCTAACCTTTCAATTAAATTATCTCGCGATGTTGATAATGTGGCAGGTGCAGATGAAGATGACGAAGATGCTACAGATGACTGAACGGCAGGTATAGATGATGCTTGTGTTAATGGTGGGACATTATGCACACCTTTATCAAGCAAAGAAACTCTATCAAGAGATCTTTCTCGAGGAAAACGATCTCTGGGTGAATTCATTCCAGTTTTACGAGTGGACGCATCTTTGTCTACAGTATTTCTATCATATCTATTATCAATTCGTTGAGATGTTCTGTCACGATCTGTAAGTGTTTTTGTTTCAGATCGCTCTCTTTCTCTATCAGCCCTACGTTCTCGGATACCATTCTTCTCAAAGGCATTATCCTTGACTATTATTCGTTCTTTATCCCGGCTATAACGCGAATTCTTATCTGGCGTAAGACCTATTGACGTTGGTACTAAGGGCGGAACATCTCTGTCCCTAGCTTTTATTGCATCCTTTTCCCTTTCACGATCGCGGTCACGGTCACGGTCACGATCACGATCACGATCTCGGTCACGATCGCGATCACGATCTCGATCCCGATCACGATCTCTATCACGATCACGATCGCGATCTCTGTCCCTCTCTCGATCGCGATCGCGTTCCCGGTCTCTGTCTCGATCACGATCCCTTTCCCGTGGTCGTTCGCGATAACGTTCTTGCAATTCTTCTTTGTCTTTATCACGAGTATCGCGTTGGTCTCGTCCAAGTCTTGAATGGCCACGCTCGTCTCTGGTATGATCTTTATCCCGTCGTTCTCTACTCTTCTGGCGTGTTTTGTCAGCTAAGTAAGCTTTATCGTCAAACTCTTTGCCAATTCTTCTATGACCTTCTTCTTGATTTGATATCTGTCTGGTCTTATTATTCTGTTCAGGTTTTCTTATGTCTTCTCTGTCTTTAGTTTTATCGCTCTTGTGATATTCACGATCTTTCTTTTCGGTATCTCGCGATCTGTTCGTAGAAACTGGTCTATCTGGAACTTTTGACGGAGTAAGCTCTCGTTTAGATCGAGATGATTTTTCAGGTGTACGGCTACGACGAGCTTTCGTCGAAATTGTATCTTTCGAGTGTTGATGCTTTGATCTTTCTGATGTTGGCGGTGTTCTCGAACGTATTTCTTTATCTTTACCTTTTAGTTTCAATCTTTCGTCAATTTTTATTTTCTCGTCTATCGTACGAGTTTTGTCCTTGTCCTGTTCTTTGACTTTATCAAAAGGTTTATTTTTAGTACTGTCTTTAGATAATTCGTCTACGTCCCGTATTTTCTTATAGTGTCTTTCCTCTTTATCCATATCTCTGTTTTTCGTTGTTTTTGGAGATTCACTTCTATTTCTTTCTTTAACTTTAGTAGATGTTCCATGGTGAGGTAAAGATACGGAAGAACCTAATACAGCTGTTGTAGGTGTTACAGCTGTAGACACTTGTACTGCTGGTGATCTTGTACGAGGAGTGGAAGAATGTTTTCTTGATGCTGAAGAAGAACTGTACTTTTTTACTGACCTAGCAGTAATTTCTTTTTTTGCAGAATTGCTGTCAAGCTTACGTTTCTTCTTGACTGATGGCTTCTCATTTTTTGTTCCAAGCCTTTTCAATTTTAATCTAATAACATGAGTAAGTTTTGGTACAAATTACTTATTCAGAATAAATATTATTTAAATGAAAATAATATTTAAATGGAGATCTCAAAGTTTTGTTTTACATTGTTTTTCCATAATTTTCAAACATGTGATGTGTTTCTTGTGTTACATTATCTTCTAATGAAATATCTATAATTTACGTATACTGAAATAAATGTTGATAAACAATATAAATAGGACCTATAAAACCATGGTTTACTGTTAAGTTAACTTGGGCCAAAATATATTAATAAATTCATATTTGAGATTTCCATTCAGTTATTCATAGTACTAATAACTAATGAGAATATAAACTATAACTTACTTCCTCCTTCTTTCTTTATCTTCATCATAATCTGTAGAACCACTGTGATGTCGTTTAGATTTAATCTTTTTAACCTTTTTTCGTGAATCAGATGTTGAACTGGAAGAAGAATCTTCGCTACTAGAACTACTACTACTGCTAGATGTACTTGAAGTATGAGAACTAGAGGAAGAAGTCATTGCCTTTTTCTTCTGTTTCACTTTGTCCTTCCCATGAACTTCTTTATCCTTCTTCATTTGTAACTCTAATTCTCGTTGTAACAGCTGTCTACGCCTTTCCAATACTTTCTCGTCTTCGTACTCCAAATCTGTTTGATTCCACTCTTCCAAATTTAAATCAGGACTATGTGATGCTTTTTTTACGATCTTAGAAGTAAGCCTTTTAAACGGATCCTCAATAAGCTACATATTGATAAATACATATGTAAATATCTATCTTCAAATGAAACAATAATACATTTTTAATACTGAACTGAATATTTCGTTCTGAAAGGATAATAAATATAAATAAAACTTACTCCTGTTGTACTTGCAATAGCATTATCCTTTTTGGCACGCTTGGATGGACTTATTAATGTGTGAGTATTTGCATATCTAGTTGCAATATCAAGAAAACAAAAGGTTGGTCATTTTAACTTACATGAACAGTAATTCTTACTTTATTCTTTAAATAAGCTGACATAATCATTCGTCAATGTAGGAACTGGACATAAATTTCATATTTTTTCTTTACAAAATATATTCACTTTAAAATTATGCTTACTTGCAATTCTTTCCATACGAACAACTGCCATTCAATGCCCAATTTCTGCAATAATCCGATGTATTCTGGCCGGCAGTAACTGCAGGTTTGGTCCCCAACCTTTCAAATACACTTGGTCGACGAGAGTCTGTATTACATTTCGTAGGGTCAACCGTTATCTTCCTTATGCTTGATTTTGACATATTATCACCATAAAACAATTATGTTTTCACAATGGAAGCACATAACTGCAGCATGCAAATATTCATTTGCTATGGAATCACCATCGATTGAGCATTTACAAACATAAGCACAATTCTTAAAGAACGGATGAAAAATTAAGAAACAAAAGTTGCTTCTTGTATATCATGTGGTTATTTTTCTAGTAATCATTACAATTTTCCTATTTACACTTATTTTGTCCTACATATCTTGAAAAGCTAACCCTGACATATTCCAACGAATGTGGATAGGATTCATGCACTAAATGTACATATACTATGCACACAACGAGAGATCATATTTATATTCATTGTCCGACAAGCTTTCGTTCATTTTGCGCATATCAATTCTGATTGGTCCGATCACCTGTGTAACAGTGTAACCGTAACCAATAGCAACGCGCAATCACCTTTCTTATTTTTATGACACCGTACGAATGTACCCAGTGGTCGTTTAATTTGTAGATGTTTATATCACGTATGACTAATTGACTAAACTTCTTATTCACACCTACATGGTTTATTAACAGGTGTTTGATTTACCAATCAAGTCAGCATCTTCCGTTACAAATCAGTTTGTAACACATACATATATAATTGTGGTTTTAGGAAACTCAATTAGTAAATATTCCAATTTTTTGCATTCTTAAATTTTATCCGTTGTATATGTATACAATGAAGTAGAGGCGTAAAATAGCGGCGTATCAATAGCTGGTGGGAAACCAATTGAATTTAGCTACGTTGTGCGAATGAAAAATGATCCCTCATTCAACGAATAATAGGAAACGACACTGTGAGTACCATGAAGTTATGAATAAAATTCAATACAATATTACCAACTTACGGTAAGGTCCCGTAAAAGGTCTGTTCAAATGCCACTGACATATTATAAAATGCTATATCATTTTTGCTGTGAAATATAAAATATATAGCGGTAAAAATTATATTATTAATAAAATAAAAACTTATTCCTTTGATTGAAACAATATTTACATATAAAACATGTACAAAATAGATGAACTTAAAATGCATGTTATCTAAACGTTGTTTTTAATTTCTTTTAAAGTAAATCATGAAATTGAAATAGTATATTTATAATTTATGTTCATATTACTAATAATTAACAGAATAAATACATACCATAAATTTATATGTAAAATATTCAAGTATAAACGGTTCATAATACAGATTGTCATTTCCAGTATTTTAAACGTTTCTCTCACGTTTAGGCGTAAGGTGTACTGTATTTTTCCGATTTAAAATGAAAATATTAATTATTAGATATCAACCTGTTTACTAATATACAATTCTTAATTACTTTTATTTTTTATTCGAAAACCAGAGCAGCATAATTAATGTAAAAAACATAGAACACCTGTTTTATTATATACTTATATACCACTTTATACATTTCATAATAGAGTATTTTATTTTTATATTGTTATATGAAATAAGTATCATATTGTTTATTACTCGACAATATCATTACATTTAAAATTTTTGTTTAGATCTATAATGGCACATCAATGTGGTTGTGGAGGAGCACATAACGAAGGAGAATTAGGAGTACAATATAATTTATATGAAAAAATTGATATAGAAAATGTGGAATGTCTGAACGAGTGTGAAGAAGCTAGCGGTGCTACTGTGTTTAAGCCATGGGAGAAAAGATTGGATAAAAATAAAGTAACTATGTTTATTTATATTAAATATACAGAAGTTGAAGTCTCAAAAGTATACATATATTATGTAATCAAATGCATATTTTCCAAACTTTAGTGTATCATAAGTGCATAAACATTTGTAATGTAATATTACTTAATACAAATAGTTTAATAACTATTATAAAATAGTTTATTAATTAATCTTTTCTTTTCAGTATGTCGAAAGTGATGTGGACAATGAACTACTATTTAATATTCCGTATGTTTCTTTTATTTTAACACATTTTCAGCAAAAATAAATAAACACAATATTTTTTTATTCAGTTTTACAGGAAACATAAAATTAAAAGGTCTTATTGTCATTGGAGGTGAAGATGATTTTCACCCAAATAAAGTTAAATTGTAAGCTTCCTCACTTTTTACTTTAAATATATCTAAAATATTACTTAATATACAGAGGTGTAATGTGTTCTTGTTTTTATATATAGATACAAAAATCGACCACATATGACATTTGATAATACAGCTGTAGAACCTGAACAGGAATTTGAACTATGTGTAGATACACATGGAGTGCATGAATATTCTCCTAAGTACATAAATTACATACAATATTTTAGTACTAATCACTGAATAAAGTTATAATATAAATATTTTGTTTCATTTTTATTTGATAAAATAGAGTGGTGAAATTTTCATCTGTACATCATTTAAGTCTACATTTTACTGGTACCGAAAGGAGCGAAAAAATAAAGATTTACTACATCGGATTAAAAGGAGAATGGTCACCTGGGCATCAACACGGCGTTACTATTTGTACTTATGAATTACGTCCGATGGTAAGCGATCATAAACAAAATGATCACGAAGATATTGATAGAGCAATTAGTTGATTTAATAATAAAGAGTTAATTAAACTCTGTTATTTATCCTGCATTAAGAAAGAAAATTATTCTAAGGAGTAATAAATATTTATATTCAAATGAATATTTGTACTTATTTATACCCTTACAACTATGTATTATTTCTTAGGTGAAAATTAAAAATAATTAGATCCATAAAATTTTCTGCTTATAATAAAAACCATTGTAACTTATGAAAACAAATAAGTTGCTTAAAAATTTCTTCAAAAATTTTATCATTATTATAAATATACATTATGTTTTTAGCAATTTTTAATTCTTTTTTGGCATTATATGTATGAATGCAATGAATGTATGAATTTAATGAATGTATGAATGGCTGAACATCTGTTGTTATAATTGCAAACTGAATATCTTCTAAACCTTGAAAGCTAGAAAAAAATTGAACACAAAAGGAGCCGTAATATAACGTTAACAGTTTTTTTCCGGATGGAATTGCTTTGAACAATTGTTACTCGAGTTGTTATAATTTAAAAAATTCTAAATACTTTTTCTTTAAATCATTCTATCTTCCGCGCACTGTGACTGCACATCTACGAGTTCTTCGGCGGGTATTTGAACTGTCCATCACTGTACATCCTAAAAACCGTATAACTAAAGGACTTATACCACAAGAAAGATCACAATGATTTAATTTCAAAATTAAACAATATTTCTAATTCTATATATATATGATAGTTTAGTGCAATACATATGGTATGTTTCTTCGCACATTTCCCTTCCTTTTTGTATAATGAATTTTCTATATGATTGAAATTAACGCATTCCTTTAGATCTTCTCCCATCTCCCCTTCTCTTCTCCGTTCCCTTCCACTATATGAACATCAACATGACGTTTCGATACTTGTTATTGCGGGTAACATTCACCAAGTTCGACAATTGTAACTCCATGGCACACGCGACTGTTAGCTCCTCAGCCGAGACAAAAAAGCAAGATAAAAAAAATGGGAAAAAAAATTTCAAATGCGACTCAATGGATTGTCAGATAACGTCAGCTATCACAGACCTTTCACCCCCAGATGGGGGATGGGGCTATTTTGTGGTGTTTGCATCCTTCTTAATTCACGTAATTGGTAAGCAATTAAATTTTTCTAAATCTATTGTATTTCATTTCATTTTTTATAGTTCATTCATTGAGATGTTCAACCTTTCCATTACCCCTTTCAAATTTCGTTGTTTATTTTATATTCACTATTGTTTTTCAAATTGATATCACACAAAAGAAATTATTATATTTCCTTTTGAATTGTGATCATGTTTTATAACTTGGTGTTGAATTTCTGTAACTAACAATCAAGTAAAATTATACATGAATTTAATTTATTTCTATAAGCATATTTTTTTTTAAAAAACTTTATCGTCGTTATGCTACCATTTTGATTACATTTTTGACACGTTAATCGCTGTTAATGTTATATAAATAAATGCTGCAACAAAGAGGAAAGAAGGAATTTCGTGAACGGTATTGACCCTGTGATAAGAATAGTTTAATCTTTACGAAAAAAAGCGTTTGAAACATCGTTAACTTGATTTATGGTTCGAATATTAGTAAATATTCATTATAAGTCATTTTTGTTTAATCACGTAACAATGGAAAAGAAATCTTATTACATAAAATCCTTAAGGAAACAGTCAAAAGTTTGAATAATTCTATATTAGATTTTAGACTTATCGATTTCATTGACTTCATCTAGATTTAAATTCCATATCTCTCGATTATATTAATAGAAAACAGAGCAAGCATAAGTAATAAAAAGTATACTTTTTAAAGTAGATTTCCTTGTATAAGACCAAACAGTTTTAAAACGCTTTTTAACATTTTTATTCGAACATGTAAAAATTGTGGATATAAATAAATTATGCGTATACTGCAAAATTTTGCATAATTTTGTTAACATAGCAAATTTATAAACTTTTAGATAGAAAAGTTTAGGTATTTGGAAATATTAAAATTTGTAAATGTGCGGTGACATAACACGTGGCAATATAGAGCATCAGGAAGTAGAACGTAGCGATATAACTACATACTGCACGTGTGAATGTTTTCAATAACATGGATTCTTGCTTCAAACTTTTATGGGTCAAGTGGCATTTTCTGAAACAGTAACTTTCTGCAATTTATTCGATTGTAATTTTCCAAAGTTACAAAATTCATTCATTAACCGCGTATAATAATAATTTCATTAACTTCAATACAAAGTTCTGCAGTTCAAAAATTTCGAGGTTCTAAACTCCAAAATTTCAAAATTTCAAAAAAATAATCGAATATTTTCATTAACCACAAGTAGTTGCAGCCATAGAGTTACACGAGACTGTTTCTTATTTTGTATACTTTTTATTTCAATTTCAAAACATAGATACGGAAACATTTTTAAAAAATGGATGATATATGTTTAGAAGATAGTCAAGAAATTTTATTGTAAGCGTTGCTGATTTATAACGCATTTTCAACGTAATACAGCATTTTTAATCAGAATATTACCAAACACGTAAGCTAAGATGCTTCAAATAAAACGATAAAAAAAGAAACATATCAGCATATACATGATCGTTCGAAAAACACGAACGTCCTTGCAGATATATTTTCTGCTTGCGTACACATTTTCAGTTTCTTCCTGTTAATATTTGTAAAAGAAAGTCGGACATTGTAACGAAATTTTAGCAAATATAAATTACCTTTGATTTTATAATAAAAGCTACTTGCAACATATACGCGTTACCACCACCATCGTATAACATTATTAATTTTACTCAAAATTCCTGATACATAGATCTTGATTATTTGTCGACATACGATCACACATGACTTATAAATGTCACACAGTTTAAAAAAATTAATTGATTTAATAAAGGCCTTGGAATTACACAAACACTTAAATGATATACTTATTTTATCTAAGTTCCTTTTTTTGTTTCTTATCTGTAATATATATATGCATATAAAAATAATATTCTTTCTACATGCTCATTTCTTCTAATCATAGACATTTATGTAAATGGCACAGCAACGTTTGCGCCGAGCAAACTAAGTACCTACACCATGTTCCTAATTTTAAATTTGCAATTTTTCAAGTCCATTTTCAAATTTCTATATTGCTAATTGCTATAACCACATCCAAAAATTAATGTCGATATTTGTCTCAGAGATCCACAAGCTTTAACGATGGTTCTTGTGTTAAGATGCTGTATTCAGATACAAATAATTGAATCGTATATGTGTTGAGAAAATGATAAGAAAGTTATTGACATCAATTCGAACGTATTCATATGTTTAAAAATGACCTACGAAAATATCTGTGCATTTAAAATAATGATACATATTTGCGTATGTAGTTTCTAGTTCGATAAATTTAACGGATATGATTTCGCAACAAGAGAGTGTCCGCGATTAAGTCATTTTATTGTTCAGTTATTGCACTTTGCTCGTGATTTACCATATGTATCAAAATATACGCACGCCTACCAAAGTTCTAATTAATCATGCTTGCTTTGTGATATATCAAATGAAAGACTACGATAAGAAAAGTACTTCTCATACAATAACGATCTTAAGTTTTGTAACACCTATTTTAAGGTGTAACTTCAACAAAAACGAATTGAAATGTTATACTTGTTCGATCAATTACTTATAATCGATAAATAAGAAAACCTTTCAGTATTTATTTCACTCTTTTTTAGATCAGAAAGTAAATTAGATATTGAGTTAGAATGTCTTCAGATGCTGTTATTATTATTTTAAAATTATCAAAACTTAATACTTATCAATCACATTACTTCCGATCAGTTCTGAAAAATTTAAATAGCTGATTGTATTTCTTCAGACAAAAAGAAAAGGAATAAAGTTGCTTTCATGAAAACAATAACTTGTAAATTTCAATGATAAATTAATAATAATAATGTAATTTTTGTGTCATTTTAGCGGACGGAGTTACGTATTCTTTCGGAGTATTTTACTTAGAATTTTTGTATTATTTCGAGGAGGGAAAGGGTACCACAGCATGGATCGCTTCGATATTGGTTGGGGTGACTTTATGTTCTGGTAAATGTTTCATTTTTATAAGCTAGATAAATGTAGTATAACGTCCGACATAATTAATCATTCATTTAGGTCCAATATCGAGCTTATTTGTAAATAAATACGGATGCCGAACAGTGACCATTGTCGGCTCAATATTAGCTAGTGCATGCCTATTAGCGAGTGTGTGGGCACAAAATGTTATAACACTATACTTTACAATCGGCATTGGAACAGGTGATACATCTTTTAGTTTTAACACTAATAACATTCATATTAATCTTTTTGAAAATGGTACTGTTTAATAATAAAAAAATTGCACTTATTCACTAGTATTTTGCTACTATCAATATTCGTAAAATTTACTTGAAAAAAAATCCTTTTTTGTACAGGTCTAGGTTTTGGCTTAATCTATTTACCCGCCATTGTAAGTGTAACATGTTATTTTGAGAAATATCGTTCTCTCGCTACGGGTATTGCTGTATGCGGTTCTGGATTAGGTACATTAATTTTCGCTCCATGTTTAAAATACTTTATAGTAGAATACGGATGGCGAGGAGCGATTATGATTTGCTCCGGAATCGTTTTAAATTGCATCGTACTAGGTGCACTATTCAGGCCACTTGAAACGAATAAACAAAAGAAGAGAAGTTCTCCAGAGGTACAGGATTCTTGTATGTATTATTATACGAAGCCCAATAACAGTATAATGTATACATAATGACCTGAAAATAGTGTACAATAAAAAAAACGTAGATTTTTTACATAAGAACAAAATAGAAATTTCTTTATAATTTCAAAGAATTCACAGGTTCTGTTATGCATTATTTTTGGGACACTTTGTATATTGTATAACATAAAAGACTACGTTAAAAAATTGTAAAATATATATTTTTTTTGGAACAGTAAAGTTTTATGTGTGTATGAAGAAACACGATACCGTCTGACATATCATATTCAATTTACAGAAAACTCTACATAATTCTTTAGATCAACAATTGAAATGTTTACCCAAAGGGGAACATAGTACAGAACTTTATGCCATTAGTTTTAAGAAGGAAAGAAATAATGTTGGTGTAAGAAGCCTGAGTCAACCTATTTTAATTTCAAAAGATATAACACGCCAAGACAATTTGGAGAACATTCATAAAGAGCAGTTGGTACTTTTCTTATCTATTTAATTGATCCTATTCATTTATACGAACAAATACTCTTAAACACTGTTAAAAGTTAATTTAATACAACTAAAAAATTGTGTACTTCACAAATTTTATTCATTAAATACATTATCGAAAAATATAAAATTTACATTACCAAAAATACTTTTAATTTTAAATACTTTTTTCTATTTACAGACTAAATTTAACACAAAGATATAGTGAAGAAGTGTTTTCTATTTCTGAATCGTCTACGAGTTTGTCTACTAAAGCAGAATACATGAAATCAAAGAACGGACAATTTAAAATTAATAATAAAACAAAAATTAATACGCTTCAAGAGATATTAGATATCTCTTTACTAAAAAATCCAGTATTTTTATTATTTATCTTTTCAAACTTTTGCACCAGTATTGGATTTTATGTACCATACGTGTACGTATTGGTATGTATATATGCCTTTTTGTAAAGCTAAAAAATCATTTCAAATTTTCATCATATAAACATTGCAGTGAAATTTATTTTTTTGAACATAAATAAAAATTTTAATTCTGAAACAAAAGTTCTATAGCTGTAAATAATTAGAATTGTAAATATTTATGTAGCCTCAAGCTGAAGAACGAGGGATTGATAAAAACGATGCTAGTTACCTTCTTGCAGTAATTGGAATTGCCAATACCGCGGGTCGTATAATCTTAGGATATGTATCAGATAAACCATGGGTCAATCGGTTACTAATATATAATTTATGTCTTACAATATGTGGTATCTGTAAGTAGTATCTGTAATATTCCAGTAGAATTTTTAATTACTTGATACTTACTAGAAAATATTTATTATTATAACATTCGTGTATTTAAAAGTATAAATTATAAAGGTATGTTTTGTTAATAGTATGCATGTTTTGTATTTTTACAGCTACAATGCTTAGTATAATATGTACATCATTTGTATGGTTCACAATTTATGCTTCCATATTTGGATTCACATCTGGTGCCTATGTTGGCCTTACATCTGTAATCTTAGTAGATTTATTGGGTTTAAATTATCTTACAAATGCTTTTGGTCAACTTCTATTATTTCAAGGTTTCGCATCATTCTTAGGGCCACCTATTGCAGGTATATTTATTTGTATTTTCACAACAGCTGCGGTTAAGAAAAATTCAATTTTTTATTTAAATTTATATTATTTAGGATGGCTGTATGATATGCTTCAATCATATGATCCTGGTTTTCTTGCAGCTGGTAGTATGATTACCTTTAGTGGATTAATATTATTTTTTGTACCTATTATACAACAAAAAACTAAACACAATGTAAGTAATAAAAGAGTAAAAAATACAATAAATAATGAACCTGTTTAAAATAGCTCTACAAATAAATTAATTCTTAAGTATAAATTTTATTTTAAACATTTCAATATTTTAGTTTGTTAAACATAATTATTTTTAAACATATTAGTACTGTTCATGATAATTCTACGTAATAATTGGAAAAATACATATTAAAGATCAAGTTTTATCCTAAGCACTTAAAGTGAAAATGTAAACATTTATTTATAACATTAATTACTATTATTTAAATATTTGTCACTAATCACTCTTATAGATACTATATTGAAATTATATGTAACATTTTGAAATAAATCTGTAATAATTAGTTGCTTAAATAAATTATTCGCTGCTATTATTTATGGTTATTGGAAACAATTAAATGTAGAGAAAAAGGATGTATAACTCAAAACATGTTTACTTACATAAAAGATCATTCTACATAAATTACAAATATTTATATAAATACTATAGTATATATAGTACATCTTTGATTTATAATGATTTAACATTATTTCCTATTTATATAACTTTTATGCTTCATATTACTCCCAATATGTTACACATACTTTAAAGAATTTCATTTACAGTGCATGCTTTACTTGCGTGCTTGGCTAAAAAATAAGTATAAAAAGCTTAATTTAAAAGAAATGTACTAGTACACAATTTTGAATATCAAGTTTGAATTAATAAATAAATTTATACCGTTTTTTTTGCTAAATTTTCCAGTGAACATACTATATCATCTGTAAGATATCCATGTAGAAAAGTATTTATTTCCCGTACTGTTTCAGGTTTTAATACAATATTTTTAGCTACTAAACGTTGAAGCACCTAAAATAATAATCAAAAAGAGACTTAATAAATCACTAAGCACAAATATTATTTTAGACTAATGTATTTAAAATAATATTAAAATAACAGAAATAACTAATTAGAAAATATATCTTACCTTTGCTAACCACTGTTTGTTAGATGATAAATCAATCATTGCATCCTGTAATTGTTTATCCATAGACACAAACACTTTTCTATGATTGTAATCATCTGTAGTATTTTCTAATAGTTCAGTACTGATCATTATAAAACTTTCTATGTCATTTTTAAGAACTGAAGCTTTCCTGAGCTCATGACTATGTATTTTATAAAAATATTTATCTGGATGAGATCGCACTATAAAAAGCAGTGACTATAGATTATTTTATTCTATATACATATTATATATTTGTATTAAGTATTTCACTTACTATATATTGCTGCTTGAATTGTTCTAAATGTCCTTAAATACATTAATAAATAAGCATTATTAACGACGGTTTTATCTACTTTGTATTTTATTAATAATTGTCTAGTATGTTCTGGGGATCTTACAAATAATATTGATAAAATGTAATCAGAAATTGTATGAACACAAGGTGGTATGTTAAACTCTGTGATCATAATAGTAAGAATATTTAAAATACCTGCAAATAAAAAGAGTATGTTTTTCATCAATATTAGGCAAGAATATTTATCGTTATATTTATGATATAAGGAACATTTGTACATATTTATTTTCAAAATGCATACCATCAAAATCACAGTTCAGTCCGTAATTGCTTAAAAGTGGCCAAAAATAATGTGCTTTAATTGTATAATGAGGTTTACATGCTCTGAGTAGAGCTAAAGATACATGACTATTTTTTGATAACGAATAATACAGTGCAAATGATAACAATTTCTTATATAGTTCTATATTGTGGTTAAAAGAATTACATATTTCAATAATTTTATTTGGATCCTGAAAACATGTATATATTTTAAAGTATAAATTAAACAAAATTCATAATATAAAAATAAGATTTCTTACCAAATTTACATCAATTGCATATCTTAGAAGTAGTTTCGTATTTGTATATTTGACATAGCTTTGTGAAAGCATATGTGAAAATAAAGTTGTAACTATATTTACTTGACCAATATTGAATATATCCATTATAACTTGCATTTCTGCATTAGAAATGTTTAACGTATTCTTTAAATACTCATACATCTAAAACAGAAAAAGAATTCAAAAATATCAATTGTGAATTTATATATGACATCATAAACACATAATGTTTTATATGATAATTCTTACAGCATCAACAGATTCTAAATGATTATTTGCAGCTAATGTGTAAATCACCCTCAAAATATGTGTATTAGTAAAATACATCTTACGCGAATGACAATCTTGTATTATTTCTTTTATTTTATTAATGTCATTTAATTTAGCATAAGTACACATAACAACTGCATATGTATCTGCAGTTGGTTTTATATTTCTATTTTCCATAATATATAGAATATTATCGACAGATTTAATGTTCCTAAAAAATACATTAATTACTAAAATATCAATCTGCAACACAAATAAAATATGTTATTACTACTAATATTATTATTAATTGCATATACTTACCCTAATTGAGAATAGCCAACCAGTAATGTATTAAAAATTTGAATTAAATAATGCCAAGGTATTTTCACAAAGCCAGAGGTCAGAAGTGACATAGCTTCATTAACATTCCCTTTTATACAGTAATGCTTAATACACATATGATAAGTAGCAAAATTTGGTAAAATCTCGTTATCTTTCATTTCCATCAATATGTCAGGTGGAGAAAAATTGTAATTATTATCTATGTAGACTTGTAACAGTGTATTATAATGTACTACATTGAGCTTGAAATCTTAAAATACAAAATGAAAAAATATATCTTAAATTTTATATTAATATTAAAATTACTAAATAAAGGTACTTTATTAATAAAACATACTGCATATGGCTAAATTAATCCATAAAGATTCTACAAGTTTCATTTTTTCATGTGGTGAAGAATCATTTATATTATTACTCCATTTTAATAGTGAATATACTTGGTTCGGAGTTACATCATCTAAAATTGAAATAATTTTGTTAAACTTACTAAACAAATATTATTAATACGGTTGTGAATATTACCATTATTTAACATTTATTGAATTTAATAAACAGCCTATTAATAAAATAAATAGTATTTTTATTATTTTCTACATACTCAATTTTATTATTATTAATGAAAATAAAATGGTTCGATATACAATTATAGTATACATACTTTGCTTTTTTATTTTCTTTATAATGTTTTCATATTCATACTTTCTTATTTGTTTGTATTTTAATATAGCAGCGCGTAAATATTTATATTTTGTAAATATATCTGCGTCTGTATTGATAATCTGTGATAATGTCCTAAAAAAATACTTATATTTTTATAAAATACTAAACAAATACCTTAAAGGAACTAACCTTGTTGAAATAATCACTGGCTTAATACAACGCTGAATTATAAAATTTATCTTTTTTTTATTTTCACTAAAAACAACAATTTTTGAAAGATATCCATGATGACTTATACATCTTAATGACATATTTGTTTTGAGAGTTATAAACTTTAATTCACGTGGTGGAGCCTTTATTTATATCAAATAGTCTCTTCTGCCATTTCCGGAAAATAGTTCCGACAATGGTGAATACTTATATAGGGTGTCCCATTGAATTAGGTTTAACCAAGCTTTGGAATCAAAGCAATGTAATAATATTGTTCTTATATTATATATATAAGAACGTTTTAAATATAAATTAAATGTTTAACTATTAAAAAGAAGTAAAATTTATTAATGCATTTTTTTAGAGACGAACGTGTAACAAATATCTATTTCATAATTGCTTTTAATAGAACTATATAGTACATAATTATTATACATAATTTATATTTTCATAAAAAGTAGCATCTAAAAAATGTCATTTTCACAATAAAAACAAATGCAAAAGTTGTTATGAAAAATAGTTTTATTAATGTTGGAATTTAACTTAATTTATTAATTTCATTATTGATCATTTTCAATTTAGGACTTATAGTTTTATAAATACATGTACATATTTTGAACATTTTAGTTATTAGATATTATACCCAAAAATAAAATTTACTTATCCTTTAAAATTTTTTGTAACGAGAAACATAAAAAGTGAAATAGTCTTACAAGTAAAACATTTATATACTGAATAGTTTACACAGTTTTATATGCAAAATGTAGAAAATATAATGATTTAAAGAGTATATAATTAATTAAAAAATAAATAAAATCTCATCGAAAATTAATGATAACATAAGAATTAGCCTGCTACTATTAAGCTATTACTAACTACATTAATCATTGTTAGCAGTAAATGAAACTATATTACATTTATTCAAAACTTTGAAGTATGTTTTTCTTATTGTTACTCTCATTACATTATGTTAAAATTGTCTAAAATATTCAATTCACAAAAGTGAAATTGTTTTTACATTTTGCATTAAAATATTATAATAAAGATTCTGATAACAGTTTCCGTTTTATAATATTAACATTAAACTTTATAATTATTTTACAAAAATTCGTCACACCAATCGGAAAGGCACTGATAACAATCATTAGACTGCTTTGCATTAGCTGAACACACATCCTTTAACCATTCTTGAAATAATTCCCTGTCTTTCTTCAAGACCAAATATTGCCCAAGAACTACGTATGCCTGTATATTTTAATAAAAAAAATTTATATTAATTTTTTAATAAATATTTAATAAATTCTATAAGTGCTTTTAGCTTTATTTATATAAATAATATTATTGTAAATTCAATATTATTTACTATTTTATTATCATTATGTTGGAAAAAAAATTCAATTAGAAAGTATAAAACAATTTTTTCAAATCGTACTTATAATTAGAAATTACAATTATTTAATATTAAGATATTTTATACTTTATCAAAGCCAGCAGCTTCTAATCTACGCCCTAGAACTTCTCCAACTCCAGCAAGGTCTGTAACAGGTTTATCACCCATTGGCTCTGCAATAAAGTTTTTATGCTTTTGCGATGTGCTGGACATGTTCCTTCTATAATCAAAAACATTCATTACTATGTACTAACATTGCAGCATTAAATATCAATTATTTATTTTCATAATGAAATATAATAATAAAGCAAAAAGTACACTTTTAATTTATATCTGCAATATCATATTTTTGATACATATATTTTTTAATGTAATACTTAAAAAATTAAGTAGTAGTAATATTTTTACAGGATACGTACATTTGTTAATTTACTTTTATAAACTGAATTCAAAATTTTAATATTAATAATTGATTTTGAGAAAAACAGTTCTTATTTATATATAGTTTAAATTCCTACTAATATAAATAATGTATTCCTAATTGTTTAATGATTTACAACACAGCAAAAATATGCATATTCTTGATAAAACGTGCATGAATAACAGAAATTTCCTAAACAACACTATTTTCCTACACGTATACGTACACAACAGTGATTTATATAAAAATATAGAATAGAAACCCTATTAACTATGGCGCTTGTAATGGCTGATTTCTATGTAACAGCATAATCGGATTTTTCATGAAACAGAATATATATAAAATTTCATTCATTTTCTAGGAAATAATGAAGATACAATATTTGAAATATGTTTTTTGATATTATAAAATCGTACAAAAGTTTCATATTGAAAACTAATTTTATGTTTTTTTTTTCATGTTAAAAACATTTTCTTTTGTGTTGATATAAGTATTGTTAACTTCAATTATATAATAATTTCATAAAAGACAAGAAAATTTACAAAATTATAATATTGTATTAACTCGCAAATCTGACATGCCACATCATAAAGTGTCGACACCGTCGATGTATTTATAACCAGAAAGCGTTTCGTTTCTTGTCTGTTCGTTTTCGAAATTGGGTTATTGTTGAAAAGATGGAGCAGTCAAGATGTGAAATACAAGTTGAAGTGTGTACCGCCGTTAAAGTGTGTTAAATTTTATTCTAATTCTTCACAATAACTTTGTAAAGTTCAAATTAGTGTGAATATTAATAAGACTGAGAAAGTAGTACAATTTTTGACATATATCGTGCTCTAATCACGGAAGAGCCATTATGTTGTGTCAACGTAATCGACGGCAGCACTGACGCCTCTTCAGTAATTAACCAAACAAAATGGACACCACGATAACGATTAAGCGAATATTCGTGCAATAAATTTATATGGAATACCCAGGAGAATGGGATTAACATATACGTTACAGTGAGTCTTAATTTAATATTTTATTAATCCTAACCATTGATAACAACATTTACAAAATTTGTATAAATTGCTTATGTCTTCTAATTTAACAATATTGAAACTTAATTTTGACATTTCAATTTAGAGCTAAAGTACATTAGTAAGGTATGTTACATATATAACATTAGTTTAATATAAAATGAAATTTTTAATTTTCTTTGAGTTCAAATACTAATTTGCTTTATACTTGTAATTGTCTGTTGTTATGAATGGTCTTCTTGCAAGTTCTTATAGAAACATAAATTCTTTATTCTACTTTTATATTTGATATTTTAAAATAAAATTTAATTTGATGATACATGTCGGATTAATTCTATTACATATAGTTTGAATTACTCGATGTAATTTTTATTACTTTGTTTTATTTTTATTAAGCAAAAGAACTGATTACAAAGCTTCATTATTATAATAGATATTAATGGTACACTAAAATTAATATGTATTAAATTATTCTTTCCAATACAGTGGATAAATTTACCACTATATTATTTATTGTATTAGAATCTATTTGAATTTAAATAGTGGAATTTGGAACATTAATTTTGATAAAAATTTGTTATTGTTGATTTAAACAAGGTAAGCATAAAATCATTTGTTATAAATAATTAATAATTTATATGTTGAAATAAAATACAAAAAGAGAATCTACTTAATTACAATTTTTATTTATTTTTCATTTAATCGTTATTTTTTTTTTCCGTAAATAAAAATCATCAAACATTCGTGATATATTTTAAATAGTTCGCTTAAAACAATTAAATTATATATAAACAATGAAACAAATAAAAATGTATTATTCATTACTAATTAGTGGAGTATATAAATTACGTACAATGCATCAATTCAAACTCTATTTTTCCCACATTTGCATATCAACAACAAAAATTAAATATAATGTTAAATAAGGTTATGATTCATTAAAGATGTCGTATATATACGTACATTTAAGCTTATACTTAGAAGACAGGATTGGTTAATCGAATATCCTGCCCTGGTATCCTACTTTATAAGGTAAAATCTGATTGGTTCTCTTTGTGGTATAATTCGGACTCCGCCTTACTACCGCCAATTGCGTTGTGTGTTTTTACCATGATACAGAATACTTTATGTATTAGGAATATAATTCTTGGAAGGATGCAGTGTTTGATCTTTCTTTTTCTCGCCCTTTTTCTTGCTATTTTATCTTACACATTCACAGAGAATGTATTATTTATTTGTATATGTATATATTACATCTATATATTTTCTCGCGTGTGCATGCATATATTCGCGCGAAATTTATGGTCTTCAATGTTTTACAATCAAGTCATAAATGTATATTGATTACAGATATTTTAAATATAGTGTTTATTAATGTAAGAATAAAAATTTTGACGTTTAATTTTATTTAATTGATTTATACTAAGTTATTTCAATTTATAATTCAGACTTTAACAAACTGTTTATGTATGTACATATATACATACATATATAATTGTAGTATTAAATATAATTTTTAAAGAATGCTTTATTATGTTAACTTCGCGAAACAGACTACACATTACATCTACGTATAAATAAATATTAGTTGTTATAAAAGGTTTCAAACGTAATTATTAAATTCGCTATTGTTTTTCAGTTAATCCGAGCTTTGCGTTTCTATTATTATATCACGATCGAAGTGGTGCCAGAACTTCTTCCAGAAATTCTTTTAATCGAATTTAAATACATTTCCTCAGACTGATTTTTAAACATTTAGTAGCTCCATGATTAAAAGTAAAAGTGATCAGTTATCATATTAATAACAATTGTATTTATAGTAAATTTATCTAATATCATATATGTTGATCATAAAACAAATTTGTTCATTTTAAACAAACACGTATTCTCTAAAGTGATAAAATACATAATTTAACTTCCATTGGTTTTTTTCTTACGTATCATGTGTGGACATTCGGGTGTAATATAGCCTTAGTTTAGATATACTTTTGATTTTGGGGGGATTAAATATAGACGTCAAAAAAAAAAAAAAAATGTTCTATATCTATATTCTTTAATTTTCCATATGTTCTAATTTACAAATTTCCAGATTTTCAGATTAGTAAATCACCAAATCGTCAAATCTACAAATCCTCGAATTTACAAATTTTCACTTTTTTAAATTTGAAAGTTAGGAAATTTGAAAATTCACCAATCAAAAAGCAACGAGTGGTGGGGTTTACTTCCCCTACATCGCCATTTTCCGTAGGGGAAATCTACCGTTCTCGTTACTGTACCATGCTCAGGCGTTTATAAGTAGTGAAGAGAGATGCGCGCGCCACCAGGTGGTGCAGTGAGTGAGTGTGCGCGCATGATGTGAAAGGTAGCTGTGTAAGTTTCTACAGATGTCATCATGTTTAAGTGGTGTGTGTAGCGATCTCCATCGTGCAGAACAGGATAGGATAGGGTAGGGTAAGAGAGAAGAGTAGTTTTTCGTTGTGAACTTTGATGGGAGGGAGTGAACGAATGTTGGGAGGGGGAAGGGG